TCTTTTTTTTTAGTTTACACAGTTAAGAAAGGGTAGATGGGAAAAGGGAATGGCAACAACAAGAAAGAGGGGGTGAAATTAAAACTAAGGGAGAGGAAGTTCGGGTGAGATATAAGCGATTTGGCAAAAAAGGTGGGCTAGTGCAAAGATGATAGTGGGGGGGTTGAAGAGGGTTGGAATGTTTTAAAAATGCGTATTAAATGTGGGGCAGAAGTTTGTGGTTATGGGAGGGGGGGGCAGGAGGAAAGAGGGGTGTTTGTGGAATTGAAGTAAAGGGTGTGAAAAAAGAGAAAAAGGTAGCTTAGAGAGGTTTTACAAAGCAAAGGGTTTTAAAAGAAGAGAAGTAATGGAGAGTAAAAGAAAGGTAAAGAGAGGGGTAAGAGTGCAAAAGGAGAGCAATGATAGAGGGAGAGGCACTGTAAAGAAATTTTAAAAAATAAAAAAAATTTTTTGGAGCGAGTTAAAAAAGTTAAGAAAGCCTAGGGAAAAATGGTTTTGTCAGTTAAAAAACAGAGGGGGAGTTAGTAATGGGGGATGGAGTTTTGGGGTAATGGCGAGAATTTTTTGAGGAACTTTTAAATTTTTGGAAAAACAGAGGCGTAATTTTCATCACTGGTCGGGGAGGTATACCATTTTTAGAGTGAAGAAGAGCAAAATGTAAGTGTGGGGAGGACGGAGGCATTACGTAAAATGAAAGGGGGTAAAGCAGCGGGAAAGATGGGAAAAGACAGAAATTTTTAAAAGGGGGGGGGGAATAGTGTTGGGGGGTTTGGGTACTTTTTTTTAAAAAATGTATGAAAGAGGGGAAGGTACCTAGGGTTTGGCAGAGAGATGTATAGTCCCTTTTAAAAAGGGAAAGGGGGACAAAAGAGCTGTAAAAATTACAAGGAATAACTTACGGTTAACAGGAAAAGGTACGTAGGGTTAAAAATTGAAAAAAATTTAGGGGTAAGACAGAATGTGGGTTGGGGGTGAGAAAGGGAGGTTTTAGAGTGGGTAGGGGATGTGTAGATCAGGTGTTTACATTAAAGTAATGAAAACAGTATTTAGATAAAGTAGGGGGGTTTTTTTTTTGCATTTATGGATTTAAAAAAGGCATAGATGAGGGGATAGAGGAGCAATGGGGGGGGGCAGATGTTGCAAGTAAGGGAAAATAGGGGGTAAGTTTTTAAAATGCGAAAAGAGTTTTTATGGGATAGTGAGGCTCGGGTTAGGGTTGTAAAAGAGGGGGAGCTATTTCCCGGTAAAAGTAGCTTAGACGGGGATGGTAATGTCACCTGGTTGTTTAATTTTTTATAGAGGGGTTTGAAAAGGGAAAAATAAATCTAGGGTGTTTGGGAGAGGGGGGATTAATTATGGGGAATCAAATTAAAAGGGGAATTTGACACAGTTACTTTTTGCTGATGATACTGTGCTTATGGGAGTTTCTAAAGAAAAAAATTGCAAAGGTTAGGGATGATTTTTGGGAAGTGTGTAAAGGTAAAATTGAAAGTGAACATAGAAAAGATAAGGTGATGGGGGGGGTGTCAAATGATTTAGTAAAGAAAAATTGGATATAAAATTTGGGGGGAAAGGGGTATGGAAAAGTGAATGTTTTCAGATATTTGGGGAGTTGACGTGTGGGCGGATGGATTTATGAAGGATGAGGAAAATCATAGAATTGATGAGGAAAAAAAGGTGAGTGTTGCTTTGAGGTATATGTGGAGTAAAAAAACGTTACTAGGGAGGCAAAGAAGGGAAGTATGAAAGTTAGTAGTACCAACACTCTTATTTTTGGGTTTGTGAAGTTTGGGGGTGGTAAATCAGCAGCAAGGAGAGGGTTTGGAGGCAGGGGAGATGTCCTGTCTAAGGGCAATGTGTGGTGTAAATTTTAATGAAAAAAATTTCGGAGTGGGAAATTGGGAAAAGGTTTGGGAGTAATAAAGTTTTAGTAGAGGCAGAAAGGGTTGTTGGGGTGGTTTTGGTCATTTAGAAGAATGGTCACAGTAGAATGACATGGAAAGCATTAAATCAAGGGGAAAGGGAAGGGGGGGGTTTGGGGTCGTCCCGAAAGGGGTTTGGGAGGGGGGGTAAAGGAGGTTTTGTGGGTAAGGGGCTTGGGTTTCCAGCAAGCTGCGTGAGCGTGTTAGATAGGGGTGATGGGGACGAAGGTATTGGACCTGCGATCTGTTGGAGTTGAGCAGGGTAAATTTTGTGAAGGGATTCGGGAAACCGGTTTTTTTCATATAGCGGACTTGAGTCCTGGGGAAAGGGAATAAATGCCCCACTTTAAAGGAGGGGTTTGGGATATTGGCAGTTTGGAGGATATGTTTTGTATCTTTTTATGTGTATGTTCTAGACTGTTGATTCTGAGCACCCCCTGCAAAAACATGTAATTGCGAGTGTGGTGAAAGTGTTGAATGATGATGAAGTATTTTTTTTTTTGGGGGTTTTCTTTTTTTTTTGGGCACCCTGCCTCGGTGGGGGCGGGCCCAACTTGTTGAAAAAAAAAAAAAAAAAAAATATATTTAAAATAAATTTTTTTATATATATAAATATTATTATATTAAATTTATAATTTTTATTATAATATTTTTAATTATATTTTTATATAATTAAATAATTATATAATTATTTTATATATTTTTAAAATTTTATATATATATATATTTTTATATTATTTTAATTATATATATTATATATATATTATATAAATTTAAAATTATAATATAAATAAATTTATATATATATATATTATATAATTATTTAAAAATTTTAAAAATTATATAATATTATATATTATATAATTTAAAAATATATTTTATATAATTATATATAATATATATATATATATATATATATATTTTATATAATTATATTTTTATTTATATTTATAAATTTTATATAATTTTATATATATTTATAAAATTTTATATATATATTTTAAATTAATAAAATTTTATAATTTATATATATATTTAATATTTTATATATAATATTATATATTTTAATATATATTTTTATATATATTATAAATATATATTATATAATATATTTTATATTTATTATATATTTAAATTAATTAATTATTATTTTAATATTTTATATATATATTTTAAAATATATATTATATTATATAATAAATATTATAAAAATTATATATTTAAAATTATATAATTATATATTTTATATATATATATATATATATATATATATATATTATATATTATTATACCTGGAGGTTATTCCGGGGGATCAACCCCCGCGGGCCCGGTCCATGACCAGGCCTCCCGGGGGATCAGGGGGCCGATCAACCAGGGTTAAGCGGCCGCACGCAGTCCAACCTCGAGCCACGCCGGGTGATTCCCCGGGACTGACTTTAGGTATCTGTCCAGCTCTCTCTTGAAGGCACCAGGGGGGTTTTTTGGCAATTCCCTAATGCTTGATGGGGGGCTGTTGAACAGTCTTGGGCCTCGGACACTTACGGTGTTTTCCCTTAGTGACCAATGGCGCCCTTACTTTTAATTGGGGGCATTTTGCATCGCCTGCCCATCTTTACTTTCGTAGGGGGTGATTTTTTGGGGCAGATTTGGGCCATTCCTTCCCCGGGTTTTCCAAAAGTATATATAATATATATATAAATATATATAATATATATTATATAAATATATATATATAATTTAAAATATACAGCTTATTAAATTAAGCATGGGGGCTTAAATTTTTTCTGCAATTGAAAAAGAGTTTCAGTAGTATACCTAAACAACTTGAGCAATGAAATATAACCTTTTTTAAATATTTTAATTTTTGAGGAAAAAAGTAAATTTTCCCAAAATGAGCATCAAAGTTTTTTTGAGATATTGTTCCATGACGTTTTTTTTTGCACATTAACGACGACGATCTTGTCATTTGTAAAATTCGTAGGTGGACCCAAAAAACGTTTTGTTAAAAAATTATTGGGTTTGTGGTATTTGGCGTTGCAGAATAAAATTTTTAAAACAGTGTATTTTTTACCAGGAAGACTTGGGGAACGGATTGGGGAGACTTTTTTTTTCATTGTTATGACAGGCTTTTTGTAAGCGGTTTCCGATGGGGGTGGTTACGTTTGGGGGGGGAGAGCTGGAGTGAGAGGGGGGGTCTGGGTTTAGAAGGGAAAGGTTGGAGTGAAAGGAGGGCTAGGGGGGGGGGGAGGTAGGGCTAAGGTGAGGGGAAAAGTTGATATAGGGAAAAGAGGATGGTGATGGTGGGGGGCTCGAGGCGCCGCCTGCTGGCCGCTAGCCAACAACGCCGTGGGGGCACCTCCTCCTTTAGCACTAAAGCAAGCGGGTTATACTAAATCCATTTTTTTTTTTACATATCTTTTTCATATTCTAGACATTATGAATAAGCTATTACAAATGATAAAACATAAAACTTGTAGAGGGAATGAAAAATGAAGGCTAGACTTCTGGTGGCGCACTGCAAATTTTGGAAGCATACATTGCGTCGGTGAAGCCCATGTGATCATATCCATTTCCAGGAATTTCATAAGAGTGTATTTTTGCAGGGTATTTTTCAGAAATTTATTCCAAAGAAAAAAAAAAAAAAAAAAAAAAAAAAAAAAAAAAAAAAGGGGGGGGGGAAAAAAAAAAAGACGGGTTTTAAGAACCAAAACATTACAATTATTGGGAACCGCTGTAACCGGATCCGTGCCATTCCCGGTGTTGGGAGGGATTGTGGGGGGCCCCCCCTTGAAACAACCTGGAGTTTGAAAAACCATTTTTTAAAGGGAACAAAAGGGGAACCACGTGACCCCCGCCCCCCCCATCCCCAGGGGGGGGGGGGCCCCCCGGCCCAGGTGAAGCCCTCCCATAGGGAGAAAACCTTTTGGCGGGGGGGCCCCCCCCGAAAAGGGGACCCTTTGTCACCTGACCAGGGCCACTACCGCAGCCCTTTTTCCCCCCCCCGGGGGTGACGCCGCCTGAAGGCGAAACAACGGCTCCCCGCCCCGAATACCAAAATAAAAAAAGGAAAGGGGTAAAATGGAAAGGCCCTTTTTGCAGCTCAGCCTTTTTTTCCACCGGAAGGTAGCACCAAAAGCGTGAAGCAAGATTCCAAACCCGTTTTTGTGGAACCGGGGGGGGTTTTCCCCAAATTTTAAAACCACCGGCCAAAAACCCCCTAAAAAAAGTTTTTATAGGCCGGAAGGGATTTTTTCGGGCCCCAACCCAAAACCCGGGGTCAGGGGGCAGTTTTGGGGGGCCCCAGTCGATCAGAAATTAGCGGGACCCCTTCTCCAGCCCCGGAAAAGTGCAGTGAAAACGGAGACGTAGATGGAGGTAGTGGGAGTGTTTTGGTTCCCTCTAGTAAATTTAGCGAGGGTAACAATGACGATAACAATGGAGGGAGTTCAAAAGTTAATGGTGACGCTGGTAATAGGCTAAGTAGCGAGCATAACACGAGTGTTAAACGAGACGCAGCCCGTGAGAGGGAAAGTGGCACAGGTAGTAGTGGTGAAGGTCGCACTGACACACACCATGTGAAAAGCTCAGTAATGATAGCACCTCTCCAGAGTAATAAATTTATTCAGAGTGAAAGTAAATCCAAAAGCAGGGAAATTTGTAAACTGCAAGGAAACGATGAATTACTGAATAATAATAATAATTATAATAAGGAAGTTGGAATTAACATAACGAAGCAAAAAATAAATACTCTTCGGCAGAATTTTCTTTCGTCTTTGTCTACAGATGATGATAATGAAGATGGTGATGGTTGTGGTACCCCGGACTTTGTGGTTTTGCCTCATCACATGGATAGTCATTTTCAGGAGACGACTGAAGATTCAGTCCTTGATGGAAGAAACAAACGTGAGGATGGAGACGAGGGAGTTGTTGAGGCAATAGAGATCCCGAGCTGCAAGAGTGACGGTGGTAATGTGGGTGATTTACAGCAGGAAGTAGTGAACAAGAGGGCGGAGGTAGAAGTGGCAAGTGCCAGGGTTGAGCCAGCTGGTGCTACTTCTGTGTCTGCAGTGGTGCTGCATACCACACAGCACCGCTTCCAGCCGCACCATGGTGAAACCCCTCTGGATGACGTTCATGTCGAGAACGTGGGATCAGTGGGAAATGTTTGTGTCGAATCTCTTCATGTGCTGACAGATACCGTAGCAAGGTCTGTAGCACAAGAGAAATCAGGGGGTGTTCAAGTGGCTACTGAAGATGGCAAAGTTTCTTCTTGTGTTCCAGTGAATTCTGGGAGTAGAAACGTTAAGCTTGAGTGTGATATTTTTGCTAAGGGCCCGCTGAATGATGACACTAATTCCATCTATGTTGCTCCCCTCCACTGCGCTCCTGTTGCCCAGCTGCCACCCACACCACCCAGCTCCCCACCCACACCTCCTTCCTCTCCACATGCATCCATGCCACTTGGCGAAGAAGAATGTAGTGTGCAGTCCACCTGCTTGAAAGGTCAATCCACAGATTGTGTTAATCTCTTGTTGCATCAGTCTAGGAAGCACAGACGATTACAAAGATTCCGGTTACCTGATGTTCCAGTGTTCTCGGCTGTCAGGAACCTCCAGCAGGAGGGAGTGGAGGCGGCGGAATGGCAGACGAGGAGCGAGTGCGAGTCGTGGCCACCCGCGCAACCGCCCAAGCAACATGGAAATCCACACGTGCAGCTCCCCGCCGCCAACGCTCATTGCGGAACGGCGGACCAGTTGTGTCACCGGTCTCTGCAGTCACTCAAGGGAGGCGCAGGAAACAGCCAGCAGCCTGGGGACACGGAGGAAGATGCGCAGGGACACCACCCTCACACAGTTAACCTCATTGGGTCCGGCAGCCGCCTAAGCCCATTATCTGGAGAGCCGCCTTATCACGCCGACGTAGCCTGCGGGCCAACCAGATACAATAGGCGAGCGGGAAAGTGTGCAACTGAAAGTGTGCATGATAATAAAAGCGTTATTGTATTAGGATCCGTAGTGCCCAGGGCGGAGCAGAATACCAAACATTCAGTAGATTTTCCCTGCATCTGTGGCAGTGGTGGACATTCTAGTGACAACCAAAGAAATTCGCCAAGAGCTACCTCAGCACAAAACAACTCTCAAGGAAACAGAGGAGCTACGCCAACAGCGAACTTAGTTAATTGTGATATTAGATTGTGTGAGTGTAGGACTGCGGTTGGTAGTGGTGCTAGTGACAATGATAATGTCTTTGAAAGTGACTCGTGCTGTAGTGACGGTTCGTGTTTGGGCCCTATAAATTTTGACAGTGAGGACAAAGTCCCCAGTGATGGATATGATGAAGAACAAAAACATAAGTTACGGGAGGCGTGCAAGGACATAGCACGCGCCCTGAATGCTCTTCCTTCTCCAGTGCCTCAGGACGACATGGTTGGGTTTCGAGAGGCGAAGCGATCACTCAATCCAAAACTAGAGTACCGGGACCAAGAGGTGGAAGCTCACCTCTCAGACTCTGAACAGCAGCCAGGGGTGGAGAGACTTCAGGTGAGTATGAGAAGCACAGGCACCAGTACAGCTTCAGATGAAGAGCGTAGAAGTAGCCTCTACGACAACTGTGGCACGAATGGCAGCTCGTGTGAGTGTGGCCACTGCCATGCTAGTGACGGGGAGAACAAGCAGTGTAAGCGACCTCCTGTCATCATGGACAAGTGGAAGGCTAACAAGTGCACTGAGAAGGACCGGTACAGCTGTGGCAGTGAACAGGACACGAGTGATTACGAGCAGGAGGACGAAGGTTTCAGGACAGACGCAGGAGAAGGATGTCGTACTGATGAGTTCGATCCTGTAACTACGTCTGACGACAATGATTACGATGACTATTGTCAAACAGATGACTGTGGTGAAGAGTGTGATTACTGTAGTGGTGACGACGCCGAGGACGAAGGGGAAGATACTTGTTATTTCTGCAAGCACAACCAGAGCCTCAGTCCTATATGTAAGCACCCAGGCGTCATAACAAATGGCATTCTTAAGTCGTTCAATGCCCGACGTTCAGAGGAAAAGGAGGCTGTGCGGGTGCCCCGTCAGAGGTCTCTGGCCCTACAGGCAGCCATACAGCGTCGCCGACTTACGCGCCAGGGGCTTGTCGCTATTAGAGAATCGAGTATTACAAGCGACGAGCTACCGGAATCAGAAGAGGAACGCTCTAATGATGGCAGCAATTGTGACATTTCTAGTAGTTGGAAGTTCGGTTTGTGTCGTGATATAACAATGTCCAGAGACTCTACGCTACGCAGCATTCGTAGTGAAAGAAGTTCTTCTTCATTGCCTTTAAATAAAGGGAGGCAGAGAAATAAAGAGAAATCAAATTCCCTTCCTGGAGCAAACTCTCGATCTTTAGCAAGTGAGCTGACAGTAAGACAATCATCGGCAGTAATGACGCCAGTGAGACAGATTTCTACATCCGAAGACGAATCTGGCTCACACGGTTCCCTTCCTTGTCTGCCACCCCGTCCACCTCGCGCCCCTCGCATGAGACCTCCATTGACACCCAGCCCACCTGCAGGAGGCTCAGCTGTGCCTCCAGCCTCCCCCGGCAGCCCCCGTCCAGCAATGGGCGTGCAAAGTCTGCAGCAGAGGTCACCGGGAACACCTCGAGCACTGCATGTTTCTGGACTGCCTGTGGCGCCGCGCACAGTGGCGCCTCGCAGCCCTAGCAACCCTAACCCTCCGTATGGGTTCCCGGCAGCGGGGACGGCCCTCTTGTGTCCAGGAAGCCCGGGGCTAACAGGACGGACCACACCTTCACCCGGGGCCACAGAGGGGCCACCGCCTGCGTCTCCCCGTGTCAATAGCCGCGCGGGGGCGCTGGTGACCCGCAACTTTTCCATCAGCGACGATGAAGGTGGTGGGCGATTGTCGGGTGGGCGGCGACACGTGACCATCACGAGGCACGAAAGCGTGTACCGTGAGGTAGCAGAGAAAGGATACCACTTGCTCCCTGGATCACCAGTCGACCCCTACTGGCTCACATGGGTTAGTAACAATATTAAATTGTATACTTTTTAATATTACATATTTTCCTAACGTTTGTCACCATGATTTTTTTATTTTATAATTTAGCAACATGCCCCGCCACGAGCGAGCCTCATTTGTTTTATGACCTGGAATCATTCAGGTGAAATTTGAGTAACCAGTTTGGAGTTAAATAACTACTATAAAAACCAGAAAGGAGACTTAAGTCATCCACACCTACTGGTCTGATGATACACAAGACCTAGGTCTTGAACATAGTTTTTGCTCTATTGTGGTGGACTAACACTTCAACAAAAACTGTATTACAGGAGGTTGATGCTCGCTCACATTGCACGTTAACATACAATCTTTTACACTCACTAGAACGAAAAGTTAGGATTTGCATATACAAGTAAACAGCTACCAAGTACAAAAATTTTACAGCACGAATGTAATATAATTTTCTTAATATTTAATTGTAATGTGATGTTGCTGGGTCGTCTAATATGGTAAGTAAGATTTTTTTGTATGACAGTAATTATGTAATAATGTTTTTACTTCCTATTGCATGAAGGATGTAATTTTGTTTGTTGGCAGTAGGTTGGTTAGGCAGCAACTATCCATTTAATTTTTGAACCGGCAGGATTGATTTGTCTGCCTTAGAACCATGTAAATTGACTGGCAAATCTCATAAACTTATACATTTATGTGCATTTATCAATACTTTCCTTCGTGTTTCTTGATATTTATTATTCCTGTCTTATTATCTTTGTAATTCAGGAGTCCTAGTCTGAAACGGGGCCTCGGGTCTCTGGAATCATTAGCAGAAAGTCTCTCTATGTATGTTCTGATATTTAAAGTCAGTTTATGTTCTGATAATTCAACTAGAAAAAATGAAAAACTTTGGATGAAACTTGGAGAGGGTCTTGAATGTGATATTCGGAAGTTGATTGATAGCAATGTTACATATTCGGTCTTAGATGAGTACGAGAGGCTTTTTTTTTCCAAAGTACCTTGGTAGACAATGCATTGATATTTGTTGTAATTTATATAGCTTGAAAGGCAAAGCCTAATCACAGTGAAATAATAGTATTAACGCAACATTAAAAAAAAAAACAAGTTCATACTACTTAGTCCTACTTATGTATTGCCCACGGTTGACACGAAAGTTCCTAGGAAGAAAAGCTAAGACGAGAGGAGAGAGTGGCTTGTGTAAAGAAAGATTAACAACTCAGATGGCCTGTCGTTGTGAGGAATGAGTGGGAGGGGGGGGGGGATTAAGGGGTAGCAGTGTCATGCAGCAGCTTCTGAACTGTTTGTTACGTAGTGCGGACCAGCTGCAAGCATGCACGCTCACGAGCATGGAGTCATGAACGCACACACCCATTCATGTAGGGGAAACATGCTGTCTCCTACAATTCCTTTCTCCCCTCTTTTGTCCTGTCAGTTTCTGCTATCTTCCCCTTCTGTTCTCTCGTATCATTCACTCTTTCTCATTTCCCTCACTCAACCCCTCCCTTCCCCTCCCCATTCCCTTCTCTGTTTGTGTCTCATTTCTCTTTAACAAAGCCAGTCAGAACGTACTTGACATTCTCACTTTAGATGTTAATAATTAAAATAAACTGGTATGAATCATTCCAGTTTTAGTATACTCTTAAAGCAAGGACAGACTTAACCATTATTATGATAAAGACGATGGTTATATCTTTCCCAACGCTTCAGATGTTTAGACCATCAGGATACATGTTTTGTCATCCCTCACCATAAGACATCTTAAGTGCTTCATTTGATCGTGAAGAATATAAACATTAAGTCTTCAGGAATTCGACCAAATATAATTCTTTTTCAAAAATTTTACCGGATTATTTTTCTATATTTAATTTAAATTCGTATTTTTTAAACACTTGTAAATCATTGAAATGTTAGTATACATTATAACGAAACGAAATTGTATTAAATGCAATAGTTGGTACAATAGTAGTTTCTCTTTAACGTATAACAACTACTTACATTGTCCATTTTTAAAGGACTGTTTAAATTGTTCGCAATTAAGAATCCATAGTATACCTTGTTTGTTGATTTTATCATCAGTGTGGAATAATCTTGTTACATTGCTAACAAGATTATTTCAGAGTGATGGAAAGGTACATACTTGTATGTACCTGTCATGGTTTTAGTAAATAAAGAGCAGGAGAGAGACTTTGTTGTTCCTTTCAAAGACTTTACTGTCTTAACTTTCTATATACTAAAAAGCTCATTGCAATTTTTATTTATAACCTATTTGGAAAAAGCACTGTAACAAAATTAACATTCTTTTTCTGTATGCCTTTTCTATGACTCATACCGTCCTCTTCATTTTTTTTTTACATTTGTCTTCTTGTATGTGTGTTGGGGGGGGGGGATGCCCAGCAGATCTAGAAAACTTTTGTTTATTGAAAAAAAATAAAAATGAAACCAGCCATTTCTGGGTCCCGTCTTTCCCGTGGGTGTGGAGGGCGGGGCGACCTGCAGCTGGGGATCACGACACCAGTTACTTGATATCAACGGAACGTTATGTGACCCCTGCCTTTTTCTCACCTCTGTAGCTTATAATTGCTAAGAAAATTTCACGAGCCACGAGCACTACACTAATCAAGACTGACTACAATTGCATTGCCTTAAATAATGGGAATGCAACATCAGACGGATAAACGAAACTCTTGTACAAATTTCTTGTTATATTTCAAGAAAACTATTAAAATAATAGAACAGTCTGTGTACCTTTACCATATGCTAGAGGTTTCTTTAGACTTCAGCAACGAGAAAATTACAGTGTAGTTAAAGTATAATTGACAAAGGAGTAAGTGTAATTGCACAATTACAGCAAACCTATTTAAACTTAAATTATACCAAGATTCGCACATCATCATACCTGAGAGCTTGATCCCTTGGTTCAAAAACAACGTAACCTCTCCCTTCCCCACCCGTAAAGTAGCACATAGCAGGAGTCATGACTGTGTAAACAAAGCAGAGAGCTTAACCGCAGGAGGGAGGTTGATGAAATGCGGCGGCGGTAGTGTAAGTGGGAGTTTACTTAAGTGGGAGTGCTGGCGCTACCCGAGTTCACACTTTGTAAACGCCTACTCAGTGCTGACTCCTTTCGGGCCAGAAAACTATCCACTTTACGCGTTCATACTCACGTTCATACCACCACACTAACGTTCACATATTAATATGTTGGTCAGTGGTGGGCTGGTCTACTCGCCCAACCATTCCTACTCATACATCATCTGTATAACTTATTTTTAATACTTATTACACAAAATATTGTTTGCAAGACATTAGTTGATAGTTTGTTACATTTGTCTTGTTCATTTCCTTAGGATCAAGTCTCCTTACACCTAATCTCCCCGTTCACTTAAATAGTAAATAGATACCAGAATGTTAGTCGACTGTTGTGGGTGACATTCTGGATGATGGTGGTACTGTACTTTATACATAGCTAAACTTTGAAATGAGTTAAACTAGGACTTAATTTGTAAATTTAATAATGCAGAGGAAAATAAAAGCTCTTGCTAAACCAGTGCTTTCGTATATCCTTTTTTTTTTTTAATCCAAATTTGACAAATTTATATCTTGTTTGTCTTGACGAGACATTTTCGTCACCTTATTTATATAGCATTTATTATATTATGCCTATATTTCATTTGTACCTTGTCATTATATTTACTTCAATCTACCCCTTTAGGGAGATTGTAAATTTAGGGTTCTTAATGTCCTTTTCTTGACAAAATTGCTGATAAAATACAGGGAATTAACTCATCCATCACTGCTTTTCCAACGCGGTCATTGTTATGCTGTAGTAAAAGTCCTGAACTGTTGCCGTTCTTTCAGATTTCTGCTAACAGCAAACTAGGTTTTTACGCGTATCCACATAAGAACATAAGAAGGAACACTGCAACAGGTCTACTGACCCATGCGGAGCAGGTCCATGTCCCCCCCCCCATTAGCCCAATGACCCCCCCCCCGGATAAGCCCAATGACCCACTCAGTCTGGTTACCTCCACTCAAGGAAGGAGCACGGCACTAGACCCAGCAGCACAAGCTAGTCAGGTCCAACTCACACCCACCCACACCCACTCGTGTATTTATCTAACCTATTTTTAAAACTACACAACGTTTTAGCCTCAATAACTGTACTCGGGAGTTCCACTCATCCACAACTCTATTACCAAACCAGTGCTTTCCTATATCCTTCCTGAATCTGAATTTTTCCAATTTGAAACCATTGCTGCGAGTCCTGTCTTGGCTGGAAATTTTCAGCACGCTATTTACATCCCTTTTATTTATTCCTGTTTTCCATTTATACACCTCGATCATATCATCGCTAATTCTACGCCTTTCGAGATAGTGCAGATTCAGGGCCCTCAGTCTATCCTCAGAGGGAAGATTTCTGATACATGAGATCATCTTTGTCATCCTCCTCTGTACGTTTTCCAGAGCATATATATCCATTCTGTAATACGGTGACCAGAACTGAGCAGCATAGTCTAAATGAGGCCTAACCAAGGATATATAGAGTTGAAGAACAACCTGAGGGCTTCTATTATTTATACTTCTTGATATGAAGCCAAGAATTCTGTTAGCTTTATTGCGAACACTAATGCACTGTTGTCTTGGTTTTAGATTACTGCTAACCAGAACTCCTAAATCCTTTTCGCAATTGAACTACTTTCGTCACTGTTGGAACCACACCGTTAGCCTACTCAAATCACAATGAAACTTGTTAATGTCTTCAGATTTGTTTCGTTAGTGAACTTTTGTTGCTGTTCTCTCGTTTGGTGCTTCACTATGAATCCCAAAACTTTTAAACTTATCTAGCTCCCCACGTACTCTGCCCCTACCTGAAGTTTACTTGACTCAGGAAATCGTATAGTATGGTTTTTTTTCTGGAGTTTACTTAACTGACGTCCATTTCGGAGGAGGAGGAGGAGGGTGGGGGGGGGTGTTCGTCGCCCACACGCCCCGGTCCCAAATCAGGC